TGCCACATGCACACACACATATACCTTACTAATGTTGATCATTCTATCCATTAGATATAACAACAGACAACATAATCATCGAAGAATAAATAAATGAACAGGAAAAAAACATATTTAATACAATTTTTATCATGAAATGACAAAACTTAAGCAATCACCGTTTTAGATTCGGCTCATTGATTTACAGTTCAATCAATTTTACCGAAACAAATACACTACATACTGTAAAGAATATTCTAGATAATGGTTTAGACTTTTCTTCAATTCTATATTTCATCATCATCATCATCATCATTATGATCATGTTTTATTGTAGTCACAATATTGTCTGATAGTTGTTTCTAAAGTTTTCCCAGAAAAAAACGATTCATTTTAATCTTAAAGTTTTTCCTTTTTCTGATTGCATCTTCATGTTATTCGTACTACTTGTTTTTTTTCTCATTCAACTTTGGTTTAAATTTGCTTGTTGTCATTGTTTCGACAAACATTGTTGTACTTCAATCTTTGTTTCATCATTTGTGTGATCAAAATGAATCATTTTTTTCTCTCTTCCTTATTCTCATTTGAAATATTCATTGGAATCAGAAATCAAAGAAAATTCAGCAACTTGAATGAATCAAATAGCAAAACAACGAAAATTTTTTTCCACACAATTTGACAATGATAAAGTTGACTTTTTACAATTAAAATATAATGTATATTTCTATACAATATCTATGTTTATTTTGAAAACAAAATTTTGGATTCTACTCAAGACGAAGACAAACGAATATCGGTTTACGATCGTAAACAATTGATCTTTCAATCAGAATTAAGAAAAAAGCCCTATATCGTTTTCTTTATAAAAAACAAAATTCGATCAATTTTCATTATTATTTATCGGATTTCATCAATACATTATTTATAGTATTATTTCAAAGTTTTTGACTTTTTTGTGACTGAACATTTTCGCTTTGTTTTGCTTTTGATATCAAAATTTTTGATAGATAATGTAGTCTTTGTTTTCATTAAAAATTAAAATTATCATTGAAAACAAAACAGAACTGAAACAAACCATTCAGTTGGTTGGTTGGTTGGTCCCTCGTTACAAAAGTCTACAGTTAATTTTTAAATATTTTTTATTTCCCGAGTAAAATAAAAATATCGTTTCAAATTCGTTGATATTTTTTTTTCTGAAAATCATTCATTTACTTTTCTTTTCTTTTCTCAATCATTTGGGGATATCAATAGCAACGAATCGATTCGTTTTTATTTATTTTTGTCACACTATTTTCCTCTATCAGAATGAATCGGAATGAAAAAAGAAAACCACAAAAAACAATCCAAAAAAAAATTGTTTCAATGATAAACGAGAAAAAAAAACCATTTTTTTCCATCTCTCTTTGTTATTGATCCAATTCATTTTGGAAACCAACAACATTTAACAATCCATTTATTTTCAAATAAAATATATTTAGATTTTGGTTGGTTAATGTTGGCACTCACTTTATCATCAACATTATCATTGTCATCATGATGATCGATAATTATCGAACCGATTTCAAAATGGTTAAAAAAAGATGAAAACTTTTTTTTTGAAGAATAAAAAAAACAAATAAAAACTATTTCTGAATATTATTGATTAATAAACTAAAACCTACAGACAAGTAAACACTTGTTTGTTTTTTTTTCGGCTGAAAAAAAAAGAGCAAGAATGAATAAATTTCCAACAACAACAACAACAATAAAAAAAGGTCATCCTAATCAAATCAACCTAAAAAAAAGCAAATAAACATCAAGGAAATAGTTGACAATAATAATAATAAAAAACAACATTCGACAGACAAAAACATCAACAACACAAACAAAACAAAACAAAATTCCATATTGGTCTGATCAAATTCAGTCAAGCAAAATTCTTCAGCAAAAATAGAAACTTTTGTTGTTGTTGCTTTTTTTTGGTTCTTTTAGCAAGAATAGTAACCAACTTTATAACGACAATGGTGGTTACCACCAACATTGAAATGGAATATAAAAAAAACAAAACAAAAAATTTTAGTTTTTTGTTTGGGACACTTTTTTTTCGCCATTGTTTATTTGGACATTTGAATGTAATCGTTGTCGAATGTCGAATGTGTTTTGAATAAAATTTGTAAGTTTAGTTACCATTATCATTATTATTGTTGCTGTTGTTATTGTCGAATTTCATATACAAAGTCTGGCGATTTTGTTTTTTTTTCAAATAAAATTTTTTTTTGGTCTACTATGTATCATTGTTGTTGTTTTTCAATAGAATTTTTTTTTTTGTTCTTTTTGGCCCCGACCAAAAAAATCAACTTACAAGCATCATTTACACAAATGAGAATGTAAAAACTTTCAAGAATAAAAACAAAAATGTTAACAATAACCAAATATACAACAACAAAAAAAAAGAAGCATCATCAACACTGAAAGAAGAAGAAGAAGAAGAAGAACAAACTAGAAAAAAAAACTAAAAACAAGATTTATTCAACTAGATCTATAAAAAGACAAAATAATAATAATAATAGTCAAAATGATTCTCGTTTGTTTTTGTTCTCGCATACCCAGCTAGCAATCAGCCAACCATTCAAATGATGATGATCATCATCATCATAATGACATACAAAGAATATATAAAAAAAAATCGGTCCAAATACAAATATATCGTATCGGGAACAATTGTTTTTCACATTCATTTTACAAAAAGAATACAATGTTCCAACAGGAAGTTATATAACAAAACACATACAAAGAGATACACACACACATACACACAGAAAAAAGAGTTAACAAAACAAAATAACCAGAAAATAAAAATTATTAGTCCATGATTTGTTCATTTTTCATTTTGTCGTCTCGACATTTTGACCTTTATTTTCATCGGTTTTTCGATTCACAAATGCTAAAGAATCTGGAATTTTTTTTTCGCAAATTTGAAAAAAAATTCCCACAAAAATTCTTTTTTTTTATATTATTATTCTCATCATCGTCTTTGCCGACCTTGTCTATGGAACTTTAATGTCATTACATAGCTAGTTTGATTCTATTTTTTTCATTTTTTTTTATTTTGGAATATGATGTCTAATTTTTTTTTCACCCACCATTAAACTATATGTTTCTTTTCATATATATAAACATGTATACCAGACATGTATCATGTTTTGTTCCATGTAATAGTTTACATTTAGACACCCACGCACATAGTTCGTCCTTTATTTCAAACCACCCATAATGATGATACTTTTCATTTATAGTTGTAGGATGATGATGATGGTGATGATGATAATATAAATGACAATGACAAAAGGATAACGATGACAAATGATTTTATATCTTATGAAATTTAGTTTATTTACTTTTTTCTTCTTATCTATGTGTGAGAAAATTCAGTTCGAATGAATTTTCTCGAACTTCGAACATTTGTTCTTTGTTCTTTTTTTTAATGTATTTAAACAACATGAATTTTTTGCATTTCATTTTGATTGCCAATACGTCAACATTTAATAAACTAATTTAATCGAACAAATTTGTTTCTGTTTTATCACATTTATTAAATGTAACACGTGGCATTTTATGATATAATATTGTGATTTTGTGATATTGTGATTTTGTGATTTTGTTACTTTGTGAACCTTTTTGAAAATTTTGAAGATTTTGGAACCTGAATTTATTTAAAAATTTGCCAATATGATTTCTGTCCCCGACGAATTAAAGAAAAAATTAACAGCGTGTCGAAGAAGCGTTTCTCGATTGACAGATTGGAGATGGGATATAGAACAGGCAGAAGCTTTGCGTACAGAATTGAGGTCTTTGAACGATGAATTGTTTGATTTGATTCCAGAAAATGAAGATATCCCATCAGAAATTGAAGAAAAAGTAGAATATTACAACGTGAAACTGGATCGTTATATAAATCGTTTGAAGTCTCCAGTTTCTAGCTTTTCTCAATTCAACGATGATGATTTTGAAGATTCAGATGATTACGTACTCTCTGAAGTATCCACATTTATTGATATTCCACGTGCACATTTGAGCATGCTAGCTCAAATTCTGAGTGTTCCTTTTCCATGTTCATGTTCCTTTTGACGATTCGACAACAAATGATTCAACAATTAATGATTCAACAATTATTGATCAAGAATCTGTTTCATATCAATCTTCTGATGACGAATCAACTATTATCGATGATAATCTACCAATCGCTGTACGAAAACCAGCTCGAATCATGAAACAACCTGATCGTTTAGGTATTGCATCATCATTTTCGTCTCAATCTCCGTTGGATCTCATCTGGAAACATATTACAATTTATCGATAGTTCATTTTTCAAGATACCAGAAAAAAGACTAAAATTAATTGGATTGGTTAAACAACATAATTGTTACAAAATTTATAATCATTTAGTTGATGGCAATTATTTTGGGAATCAATTGCCCAAGAAATGAAATTAACAATTGAATTATGCAAATTTTTTTGGTCGAACATACGGAGTCCTTATATGAGACATTTACAAAGAAGACAAAATTGAGCAGGATTAAAACCAATTTATCCCGAACTATCTTTTTTAAAAAGTCAATTACCTAAAAAAACAAACGAAAATTACCAAATATTTTGTTTACCAAAAACCAACAAAAAAACGAGTCCAACCACGGGCATTTCCAACAATACCTACACAGAACCAAACACTCAGACACTGATTTATGTAATTGCTCAAACACAATACAAAATTCTAAACACCTAATTGTGTAAATTTCATTTTTTTAAATAAAGTAAATTTCATTAAACGATCTTGTGTGTTTGTTTTTTATCATCATATCTATATTCTTATGGTACATTTCTTTAGTGTGTGTGTGTGTTTTTGGTGTGCAAAAATGATTATGAAGATATTATCATACTTTAGTATCACATCGACAAATCAACTAACCATTTTAATTTCCTACTTTTTTCCAATGAAAATTTTTAACAATTTCTTTTCATTTTTTGTTTTGTTTCAAATGTAGGTTTTCCATTTTCATCAATAGCCAGAAATGCCATTGCAGCTGTATCGACTGGTGGCCCTTATCCAACATTTCCAAATTCAAGCGGTACAGCATTTGGTCCTGGATCACAATTTGGGTATGTCTAAATTAACTAAGAAGAATTTACCAATTATCTGCTCATTATTATTATTATTATATCACCTATAACCTTAATTTAGTAACAATTCTTTGGCAAATATTACAAATTATTTTTATAATTTTAGCTATTAGAATAATAAGTTAATAATAATAATAACAAATATTTTTTGTTGTTATTGATAAAGCCAAACAGAGTTTTTTTCATCATCATCATTCATTATCAACAACAATTCTTTGTTGTTTGCCAATTTTGTATCCTCAGTATGATAATCATGTTCATTATGGTAATGATGATTGTGATTTTTGTTTTTTGTTTTTGTCATAATTCTTTGTCATTCTAATGAAAACAAAAGAAAATGAACTTGTTTTCAAATATGGTTCATACAAATTATTAATTTCTTTTTTTTTTCCTTTTTTGACGCTCATCAAACTCACAATTTTCTACTATTCTTTTTTCCTGAGCTGTTCAATTTTCATTGTTTTTTTTTCTTTTACTGTTGCTTTGGGCAATATTTTAGCCATTTCATTTTTTGCCTGATTTTGACATTAACATCAACATCATCATCATCATCATCATCGAAAACGATTGGATTGAATAAATGAATGAGAAAATCATTGCCATAATCGAATTGAAAATAATTTGTCGTATACGAGGAAAAAAATTAGTGAAAATGTTGTTTTGGTGAAAACTTGAATGTTAAAAGAAAATTCTTTAGTTAGAATTTGAATTTTTTTTCTTCTCTTTTCATTATTTATACAAGAGAAAAAAAAAATTCAATTTTGAAAAATTTTACCATTTGTTTTCGTAGGTTTAATTGAAATCAAATTTTGCTTTTTCGTTGTTGAAAAAAATGCTGTTTTTTCCGATTTTTTTTCTCCAACAGAGGAAAGATATTTTTTTTTTATATATAACTTTGTTCATTTCATTTAATTCTATTCAAATGCATTATGCAATGATGATAAGATTTATTTTTCTTTTTAGCTTCTTTTCTAGTTATTTTAATATTGTTATATTTTCGATATCATACGGTGATTTTTATACTTTTCTCAACCAGCCGTTGTTGTTGTTCATTTGGCTTACATTTGACGTAATTTTGAATGCACAATGATAACACCAATTTGTTTTTCTTTTCATTTTGGATTCATTTTCTATCATCTTCTTAGTGGTGAATGTTTTGTATGATTTTTTTCTTGTTATATTTTATTATATAACGAGATTTTTTTCCCTCTCTTTGCTCATTTCATTGAAACTTTTTTTTTCTTGAATTAACTTTGACTTTTGCTGACTTGAATCTTTTTTTTCTGATTTTTTATTTTTTGCCCTCCATATATCCAATTGTGGGTGGAAAAACAACCAACAGCAACAGAAAGCAAACGAATGAATCAAAAAAGAAATAGGAAATAAAATTGGCCATTGCATCCCCTGTGTTTTATGCAATTTTTCTCTACATTTTTTGTTGTTGTTGTTGTTGTTTTTTTTTGAATGAGTCTTTTGAGAATAATATTCTTATTTTTTATTATTTTTTGATGATAGATTCTGAATTCTGAATTCGATGCGAATGAAAACATCAACAACAACAACAACAAAATTAATGAAATAACAGATGAGCTTTTTCGAAGCGAATCAATTTCTAACGAGATGAACAGAAAAAAAATATAGGAAAAAAATCAAAATGATCCACCGTAATAATGTGTGTGTGTGTATGTTGGTAACTAGAATTATTATTATCATCATTACAACTTGGATAAAAAAAATGATGACCATCATTTAGAATGGCTATTGTAAACAATAATTTTGTTTATTCATTTTAAAAAACAGTATTCCAATTATTTTTTCGATAATATATTGTGATCAATTCAATTTTATTCGATAGAAATTTTTGTTTGCCATCTCATTTTTTTTCTGTAAATATTTTACTCGACCATTTTTTCTTGCATCATTTGGATCGATTTGTTCATCATCATACATTTTGAGCTGTTGTTACGAAAACAAAACAAAAAAATCGTTTAATTATAATGATCATTTGATTGAAGAATATTCTTTGTATGAAGAAGAGAAAAAAAAGATTAAAAATCATTACCACACTATTATTATGATGGCAATGTCGACTATTAACCCGTTGCCCATCATTAACTCGAGACATTCAATGATCGATGCGAAATTATCATTATTATTATCATCATCATGAATCTTTTGATTCGGTTCATCTTTTTTTTTCTTGTTTCGAAAATTCATATTTCTAACATCGCTTCCGAATCGCTTTATGTTTTTTTGTTGTTGTTGTTGTTTCACAAACATCCTTTCACACCGGTTATATCGTACAACATCTTAATTATTGAATTCTCAAGTTGTTGTTGTTGATTTCCAGACAGATGTTGCTATGTTCATCCTTTTTCATTATCATTATCATTTTGGAATGAGAAAAATTGAGGAATTCTGATTTTTTTTGCTGCTATTTTTGGATTTCAGTACAAATTTCTAAAGGTTTGATTTTTCATTGTTGTTGTTGTTGTTGTATTTCCTTTTATCATCATCATTGCAGTATCTTGTTGTTCTTTTTTGGGAATGTAAAAGGAATGAAAAAGTTTTCTACAAATTCGAATGAATTATTCGATCAAATTTGTTTGTGTTGTTTTGTACGATGTTCTTATTATGAGTGATACTCGAGAGAATTTATTCTTTAGTTGAGTTTTTTCCTTGTTTTTTATTTTTTGTTTTTCGTTTTACATGTAAAGGAAATAAATGTGTAAAGCAACTTGATTGTATACAACAAAAAACAACAACAAACTTTTTTTTCAGTCAAGTTTTGTCCATTTTTCTATCTATCACAATGTTTATGTCTGTGTGTTTATGTAATGTTTATGTATGTCAGTATCGGTTAATTTGACAAAAAGCTTTTTTTGTCGTTGTCGACAACGAAACACACAAAAGACATTGGTTTCGACATCTCCGTCTTTTTTTTTGCTGAGACAAAAATTTTTTTTTGTTTTGTTTTTCCTTGATTTTTTTTTTATTATTATTGGAAGAGAGTGAAATCGTTAGTTTTTGTAGATCGAATAAAGACGTATACATTGATGATATTGTCTTCTTTTTTTTGTTGGAACTATGAAAATGGAAAATGAATTGACATACAAAAATAGTTTTCCATTTTATTTTAGTTTATTGATGATCAAAACATCATCATACTTTGAATTTTTTTTTTGTTTCCATGTTTCCTTTTCTACTACCGGCTAGAATTTTTTTTTCAGTTGTTGTTGCTGTTGCAAATTTTTTTTTTTGTCAATCCTTATTTTATCATCATCGGATACATTAAAGAATGACATTTGCTGAAATAAAAAAGGTTTATTTTATTTCAGTATTATCAACTTGATCTAAAATCATTGAGATTGATTTATATCTTGAATTCTTCAATCTTGTAACCTCAATCCATTATAATATTTGGTCATAAATTCATTCATATAAACATTTATTATCCGGAAAAAAAGGTTGCGTGTTGTTGGAAAAAGAGTGATTGAAAGGAAAAAAAATGATTTTCCATTCTTCAAATCAGTGATTCAAAATGGTATATGAAGAAAGAATTCTCTCTCTCTCTTTTGCAATCAATTGGTTATAATCATAATAATAATTATGTTGATTATAATCATTATTTTTGGTTCAATTTTTTTTGTTTTGTTTTGTTTTTGTTGTTGTTCAATCATATACATTATGCTGCTGGCTAGTATATGATATACATAGCCGTGTTTTGATTCAGCATTTTTTTTGTTGTTGTTGTTTTCGTTGTTTCAGAATTACATCTATTCAATTTCAGACTGAAAGCGTATAATAATAATATCAGAAAATAACATTTTTTTTGTATTTTGTCATTAATAAATCACACACGATAGCCCGAACAACAACAAACAATGCCATCGAAAACCTTTGATTCTTTAATTTTTGTTTTTCTATAGACAGCAAAAGAAAAAGAAAATGTTGGACCAAAATTTTGTTTTGTTTTCTCTTTTTATTATTGAAATTTATCTATAAATGTATACATACATTATGATAATTAATGTTGATAATGATGATGATGGATAATTACTGGATTAATTGTTTTCTTCTTCTTTCATCTTGTTTCGTTGATAATGTTGCCATCGATGAAAATGGAAGAAACGCCCGAAATTTTTTTTCTTTCTTTCTTTAATTGTTTTTCTCTAAGCCATTTTTGTTGTTGTTGTTATCTTTTGTTTTTTTTTCAGGTTGATTTTTGAATCTTCATTAATTTTGTTTCGTTTTGTTTCTCCTTTTATCAATTATATAGATTTCCCGCTCAACCACATATAATGTATCATCATCCAGGATCATCAGCATTAACAACTGCAACTACACCACCGGCTGCAACATTTTTACCATCAGCAACACCAGCCGGTTTATTATTAACACCACCAAGCGCTTTCTATTCGGATTATGGTTTAGCTGGTCCTACAACAGCATCAGCAGCTACAGCAGGACCAAATGGTCCATTTCAACCATCGGGTTATCCACCCGATTCGGGTACGATATTAACTACATTTTTAGCGCCAGCATTTGCTGCACCACCACCACCATCGACAACTTCCGGTCATCATCATCATCATCATCAACAGCAACATTATAATAGCACAACTGGCGGAAATCATCACCACCATCATCATCATCATGCAGCAGCACAACAAGCAATGGTTGCTGCAGCAGCAGCAAATGCGTTAGCCGGAATATCTGGACCACCACCACCACCGCAATCATCAACAGCCGGTGGTGGATCATCATCAACAATAACGCCAACAAATTCAGCAGCAGCAGCGGCAGCTGCAGCTGCATTCTATTTAAATGGTCAACATACAACCAATGGATTTTTAACCGGTGTCATTACACCATCATCATCGAATGCCTATCTAAATGATACGAGAATTGGATAGTTTTCACAAAAGATTATAAACTTGAATTATTAACATAATTACCATCGATTATGATTGACCGTTATAATTTTGAATGAATCATTGCATAAGCGTCAATCATTTTTTTTTCTCTTCATAAAAAAAACACATACAAACAAACAAAACAAAACAATTTTTTTATTTTTGGATCACTTTATTATTGAAAATTACTTATTATTATTATCTATTATCTTTTATCATTCTTATTTTCCTTAAAGAATTTTCTTTCATTACCATCTTTGATAACAATGAGCAATACACTCACTCATTCATTCACATAACAATATTATTTCAGAATTGGAAATACAATTTCGATCATCATCATTATCATTATCATTATCATCGAACATATACAATCGCCAAACATGTTTATCACTATCATCATCATCATCATCATTATCAGAATAATAATAATCATGATTAACAGCTATCATCAATACAAACAACATTTTTTTCTCTTCATCATCATCATCAACATCATCATGTTATGAATTCACAAGCAAACAAACAAACAAAAATGTCCAATTTATTCTATGGTTATTTGAAAAGAATAAAGAAGAAGGAAGGGAGAAAAAAACAGAAATTCGAATTCCTCATTTCACTATATTCACATTGTTAGAACACAAATTGTTGAAATAGTATTAATATCGCCGGAATCGTTCGATATGAATCGTATCGAGTGAGAACAAAATAAAAACAAAACCAAAACATGACTGATGCCGCCTATATCTCTCTCGAGAATTTGTTTGTTTTGAATGATGAAACATAAAACATAAAAAATTCATAAATGTGAAAAAAAATAATAATAATCCATTCTTTTCGGTAACAAATAAACAGATTAATGAATAGATGATACTGAATGACAAATTGATGAACAGTGCCTAAAAATATTTTCATACCAAACACACATAACACACATCATAAATTTGGAATATACATTGTGCACTTTCACCATCGACATCAACACACACACACAAACACACCTTTACAACTTTCAACCGCCCCCGAAAATTTTATTCTTTTTTTAATGTTCTTGGTTGTTGTAATCATCATCATCATCATCGTCAACACAAGCAATATTAAATTCAATGATAAAATAAACAAAACAAAAAAAAAGAAAAGAATTTTAATATTTTTTATTTCAATGAGAAATGACAACAAAAAATTGTCACAACAACAAAATTCAATTTATCATCATTATAATTTTAAAAAAAGTAAAATATTTGTTTCATTGTTATTGAATATTTATTATTATTAATTCGTTGACAAACATACAAAAAATAATGTTGATATGTTACATAATTGATTCATTACAATTCATTTTTTGTTTTCTTCAACATACAAACAAAACAACAAGCCAAAATCATTGAATTCTTATTCATTCGAAATTCATCATTCACAACATCATCATTTTCATTGTCTTTTTATTCTCTGTAATTTATTCCATTTTTTTCCCCACATATCGATAGTATCGATATTATTTCAAAAAAAAATCTACACCTACTACCGATTCATTCAATTCATTCATCGTTTTTGAAACAATTTTCTTTCCCTTGTCCATATTAACATCATATAATTTAATCTTCACATACATATGCATCAACCGATAAACAAAAAATTAAACCTCAAAAAAACAAAATCATGATAATGAAGATAAAGAAAACAAAAAAACAACAAGAGAAAGAGATAAAAAATATTGTCATCATTATTCTGTCGACCATTCAAGATTCTAAGAAAATCCAGAACCAAAAAAATTTCATATTTTGTATTATTTGCCATTTCCGATTCTTTATTATTATTTTAAATCAATTTTTTTCAAATTTCACATTCATTCATTTTCATTCACTTCAATGATTTTGTCTGGTCCTTTATACGGATTGGAATTGTTGTTGTTGTTATTGAAAAATGTGCTCAAACAAGTTTCATTTTCTTTCTTTGGTTCTCCACTCTATTCCTTTCTTAGGAATCTGAAGATGGTCACATCTACATTCGCCATCATCACTATCATCATTCATTCATTTTATTGTTTTGTTCATTTCGTTGTTATTTTGTTGTTGAGTTTTTTTTTGATTTCTTCAAATTTATCCCACCATCTAAAGAATTCGGGTCGCACCGAATATAGCCAAAAATAAAAATAGCCACAGCCCAAAAATAGCCACAACCCAAAAATCGCCATAGGCTAAAAATCGCCACAAATTAAAAATAGCCAATGGAGAAAATAGCCATAGCCCAAAAATCGCCAATGGCAAAAATCGCCACAAATATTGGCGGTTTGGCAAATTGACAGTTAGGTTTTCCTAACGGAAAACCTAACTACCCATGAAATTAGGTTTTCCTACCCGGAAAACCTAATTTCAGAAACCTAAACTAAACTACCTAAATTAATTTGGAACAATTAAAAAATCAAATAGTGTTCCAGAAACACACAAAAACCTAACTTAACATGCCTAAATCCATTTGGAACAATTAAAAGACCAAAGGGTGTTCCAGAAACACACACAAACCTAACTTAACCTGCCTAAATCCATTTGGAACAATTAAAAAACAAAAGGGTGTTCCAGAAACACACAAAAACCTAACTTAACCAAACCAGAAACTCAATTTCCCATCATTTTCATTATTTTGGCTATTTTTTCCTATGGCGATTTTCTCCATTGGCGATTTTTAATTTGTGGCTATCTTCTCCATTGGCTATTTTTAATTTGTGGCGATTTTTAGCCTATGGCGATTTTTGGGCTATGGCGATTTTAGGGCTGTGGCGATTTTTATTTTTGGCGATTTTCGGTCTCCCCCAAGAATTCATCTAGTCAAAAAAAAAAACGAAAAGTTTAAATATAAAAAAAAATTACAGCTTCGTTAAATCAAAAAAATGAAAAACTTTTTCAACAACAACAATATTTTTCAATCAATAAATCATTTCAAATATATGACTACTACTACTATCCATAAGGATGATCCATTTGATTTTTTGAAAAATTATTATTTTTTTCATCATCATCTTTTATTTTCTACTTTATAGCATTTATTTGATCATCATCATCATCATCATCATCATCATCATTGTCCATATGTGTATTGGTGGTTAACCATCGTTGCAACAAAAATGGATGAAAAATGAACCACACACTCAACTCAATGGAACATAGACGCACAAATACGCCCATCATCATCAACTACTATCAACAACAATAACACACAATAGGCACATATTATTATTATTATTATGAACCAATATATTTTCTTTACATTTTATTCAACATCAAATAACGAAAAAAATAGGCCCAAAATACACCCACACACATTCATAAATTTACAGACTGTCCAGTGTCGGTTGTATCTGGAGTATACATACAGACTCGAATACAACCAAATTTTTTTTCAATGGTGCCATGACAGACCAAAAAAAAAGACAAATTTTCTTCTCATTTTTGTTGTTTTGTTGTTGTTGTTCTGGATTGGACACTCACTTATATAATAAAATTATTCTGTTACTGATGATGATGATGATGATGATAACAATGAATGAGAACAAGGAAAAAAAATGAAAATTTTTCAATCGAAATACATATAATGCTCTCAACAACAACAACAAAAATTTAATTATAATTAATTAATAATAAATATTTAAATATTACAATTATATTGTTAATTATCTTGATTATATTTGTATTTATTGCATAAAACAAAACACGGAATTTCACAAAAACAAAAAACAAAAAATACAAGCAAAAACACACCTATCTCATCTGAATATGTATCTATTATGATTATGATCATCCACATTATTCTCAGTATTCATCATCATCATCATAAGATACACACAAACAAACATAGGCCCATCATTCATTCATTCATTTGTAATAATTGGTTGGTTGAGAAACAAAACAAAACAAAACAAAAATTACATACCTGACTCAAACAACCAAAGATTTATCACAAACTTACATTTTTTTTGTTCATTCACTATTCTTTTATTGTATTTCATGATGACATAATATTCTAATGTGACTACACAGCATTTACTCAACAAAACAAAACCGAAAAAATCATTTTAAATTGAATGAATGATTGTTAATTTGTTGATCATTTTCTTTCCAAAATCTACTTTTTTTTCCTCACATCTATTTTTTCCTTCCAAATTACGAGTTTCATTCAATCAATTATAAAAAAAAAATTTTTTGACAACATCCATCTATTTTCTAATTTATAATTTTACTTTTTTTTCATTTCTCTCTCTCATCTTCATCATTTCATTTCAAATTTCATTGTTTTCTCATTTTTTAATCATCATCATCAATGAAAACAACCAAAAAATGAAGAAATAAATTCTCAAGAAAATCAACCACCAAAAAAATCATCGAATTTTTTTCTTCTTCGATCTTCTTCGAAATTCTTCTCCACTCTCATTCATTATATATTTAATATACAGAACTAGCTTCACATTTAATTCCTTTTCATTTTAACCCCCATCCCACCCCATCTCAAAACATACACACACACATACTATTCGATAGTAATAATTCATCAATTTGATTTCGATTCAATATACTCATCGAATCGAATAGGAAATAAAATAAAAAACAACAACAGCAAAAAAAACTTGAAAAACCAAAATACTATGATGGCGATCAATTATATGTGTTTTAAAGCATCAATCAATACAAACAAGAGAAGAAAAAAAAATTGAAACATTGAAAAGAATAAAGAAATAGTCGAAACAACAAAACAGAATGAATGACAAAAGAAAACAAAACCAAATCAAACTCATCGAAAGAAACATTCGGCCACAGACAACAAAAAAGAAGAAGAAAACATTATCGAAAATTGACCGCTATCAACATCAATTACCCAAAAAATAAAATAAAAAAATAAATTCATCAATCATTAAATTGAAAATTCTCAAACCACAAAAAAAAATTGGAAACCACAAATGAAATGAAATTATTATTATTATTTATAAACCAAAATTAATAAGAATTACTATTATTATAATTATATTAATATTATTATTATATTTATAATAAACTATGAAATAAAAATTTACTATATACTTTAAAATCATTGTTTTTAAATTCTTGCGAAAAAAATGCGTTTATATGATTCATATACATATAGATGGCGATGAATTTTATATTCTTATAAAGAGAATTGCGATAACAAATTATTTAAAAATCGTTGATTTGTTTTTCCTAAATTGTTGCTGATGATGTTTGACGCAACAATATAAGAACTTAAATATTCTATATAGCCTTTTTTTAATGATGAAAATTTCATTCGAACATACATCCGGAATTCATTCATTTATTCATTCGAAAAACAAAAATTAGGTTAGTCGAACTATGCCAATTTTCATTCACACACACATATGGATTTTCAATGGAATTTGTTCATGTATATATTCTTAAACGAAAACGATGCCAAAAAAACAAACAACCATTGATTCTTCATAGCGATTCTTCAAGAAAGAAAAAAACATTGAAAACATTCATATGATTATGATGATAATAACATTGATCAATACCACCACCATTACCATAATAAAAAAAACCGAAAAAAAAATGAATAAAATACTGAAATTAATGAACAAAATCATTCGAAATGTACCGAATACTATAATTATGATGATGATGATGATGATGATAATAAAGAGAACAAAAAATAATGTAGTCGATATCAATTTTTATTTCTGATAACACTACACTTGTTATTATTATCATCAGCATCATTGTTGGCATTGCCATTATATTCATCACAATTATTTCCTTAATCTCTTTAAGAAAAGAAAAGAAAAAAAAATTCTCATTCAGAATATTCTTGTGACGCGTAGGCGCTCGATTGTATTGTATTGAATGGAATGAATTCATTCAATTCGAATTCTTTTCATAACGAAAAAAAAATACGAACAAAACAAAACAAATTTGTTTCTAGCCTTTCAATCGACGTCTATCTGATTAAAAGATTCCGCGATCATTTCTTGTTGTTGTTGTTTTTGTCGATTTTAATTATCATCACATAAACACACGCACATGTTGCAGTGTTTTTTTTCAATTCATGAGTGTATCGACAAATTGATTCCAGAATTTTTGTTTTGAATCTTTCTTTCTAGCTACAAGAATTCAACAGAATTATATGTTGTTTGTTTGTATATTTTTCATTCACAATATTAATGCACAATATTAGACAATTGGAATGTATGAATGAATGAATGAATGAATTAAATTCGATAAATGAAATTCTTTTGTCATTGTGTAAACAATTTTCTTTTTTTTTCATATTAAGAAATTCTTCTTACATTATCCACTTGTTTATCACTTATATTGATGGTGGGTGGGTGTATGAATAGGAATTTCAAATTCATTCAAAGATGAAACATAGATGTTACAAAGCAATAATAATCAACGAATATACAGCGAAAATCTTCATAATAATAATCAACATCATCATCATCATCATCACATTGTTGTCATCTTTGTAATTATTGTTGACAAGGCCCCTGTATTAATGAAAAAGAATGCAACAAAATGAGCTATAGTAACAGCAGTAGTAACATTTCGACTAAAAGTGGCTGTACAGGATTTATTGCACATTCAATTAATCCGACAAGATGTCGAAAATGTTATAAAGATATCAGTGAACATCGTCAACAACAACAACAACAACCGTCAAATGATTCAACTAACTTACAGCCATTATCTTCAGGTACATGTGACATTTTTTTTAAAGCAATACGATCAATTTTACAATTTGTTTATTTTTTCTATTTTATAAATAAAAAAGAAAATCAACGATTTAAACGACCACAACGTAGTTCATCATTAAAATTGGATTCATCATCCGATCATTCACAATCGGTTTCATTTACATTGAAACCGAAATGTGTAAAATTTTCTGATACAAAAAATGTTGATGATGATGATGGTGGTGGCAATGAAAATAAAAATCAAGAAATCGATGATAATGATCCGATCGATGTTGCCTTTACCGTTTGTGTTCAAAAATCACCCAAAACATCAACGTCGTCGGAAAATTTCCAAAAAAATGAACAAGATTATCAAAGCCGTATTCAAGAATTAAGTCAACAACTAACCAAGTCAAAGGAAAAAATTGATCTACTTGAAAGCAAAAATAAAGAATTTGAAAATATGGTACAGTATAACAATAAACTAGTTTCATTTCTTCTTCATTTATTCTAATTACTAATTTTTCCATTTATTTAATAATTCTTTATGAACAAAAAAAAACTTAGTGTAAAACTTTTGGAAAAATGTCTGCAACCGAAAGTGGTCGAGGAACTTCAATCCGACAAAATTTCGATGAAATGGCCAAACTAAAACAAAGTGTAACAGATATGCAAAATGAAATTAAAACATTGAAAAATGAAAAGAAAACATTGGAAGATAAAATAAAACGAACCAGCAACGATACTGTGAATGAACTACGAAGCAAACTTATACAATCGGAAAAATTAATCGCACAGCTTACACAAGAAAATGAAGATATTAAAAAAGATGTTAAAGAATTGGAGGTAGAATTTCAAGAATTACATGACAATTTTCGTGAAGATCAATCGTCTGAATTTCGTGTGATAAAACATGAACTTGAAGCAATGTCTAAAAATTGTCGTGTTTTACAATTTAAATTGAAAAAAGCTGAACGAACTGTTGAACAATTAGAAAATGAAAAATTGGACATGCAAAAACAATTACATGATCTATATGAAACAACACAGATGGATGTTGATAAACGTAAAATGAAAGAATTGGAAAATGAATTATCTATTGCTAAGGAAGTATCGCTTAAATTACATGCCGAAATTGAACAGCTAAAAGAAGAACGGCTAATCAATATGGAACAATTGCAACAACTACAACAAAATAGTAATACTAATAATAACAAATTAACGTCAACAACAAATGATAGTAGCCGTAAACCATTTGGTAAATTATCGCCATCACCATCGTTTGATCAGAACACAAAAGATTATGAACAAGTTGTTCGTGATCTATACGATACGATGGAACGTGAAAAAGATCTTCAAGAACAGCTCAAATTTTCCGAAGAAGAAACACGTACAATGAGAAAAAAATTATCGACAATGGAACAGGAAAATGAAATTCTAATGTTACAGATAAGAAAAATGACTTCGAAAAATAATCAAGCTAAAGGTATATCAAAATAATAATACTTTTTTCTTTTAATGTTTATTTATGTTTTGTTTTTCATTGATTAGATGAAGATGAAAGTGAAAGTGATGAATTGAATCCAGAAGAAATGAAACTTCATCTTGAATTATATGAACAAGAAATGATTGTATTAAGAAGAAAAACTGATGAACTTGAACAGGAAAATGAAAATTTTCAACAAGAAATTAAATATCTACAGGATAAATTAGTATCACAGCCAATAACAAAAGTAGAGATACCCGAAATACCGGCTGGATCACCACCCAATGTCATTTATGATCATAAGATTAAAATACTTGAAACTGAAGCTCGTGAATTGCGAAAAAAATTAGTGGATAAAGAAAAAGAAAATGAAAGTCTTCGTACCGAAGTAGAATTACATCGGCGACGAGCATCGAAAGTGATTAATCGTAGCCGTAGTTTAGATTCTGAAGGACAATCATTAGATATGAAAAAACAATTACAATTATTTGAACAAGAGGCAAACATTTTGCGACAAAAATTGATCGCATTAGAAAATGATAATGAGAAATTATTGAATGAAAATAAACGATTACAATTACGTATCAGTAAAAAACCTCCACCGGGACCGGTCGATCAATTGCAAATCGAAAACATTGAATTGAAAGATAAAATACGTGAACTGGAACGTAAATGTGATTCATTGAAAACTGATCTAATGAATACAAAATTGAATACTGAAACAACTGAAACTGAAACGGATTTTATTGCCAATCTAAAGAAACAATTGCGACAAAAAGAGAATGATCTGGCTAATCAGCAATCCAAATTAGCCCAAATGGATATCGAAATGGCTAAAATCAATCGTGAATATAAAAAACTTAAAGACTCTTTAAATCCAAGGTTGGTCATTTCATTCTTTCATCATCATTGTTATCATTTACTGTATTGATTACATTGTTTTAGCGACTAGATTATAAACATAGAATGTAACTTTTGATTTTGATGTTATCGTTTTTGATAGGAAATTTTATCAGGCAAAACGACCTCAACTTATTCTAAATTTTTTCTCTTTATTTTATTTTTTTTCAGACGAAGAGTAAATCGAGTGATTCGAGAAACAGCTACACGTTTGGAATTGAAAGAAATAATAAAAGAAATGGAAGAAGAAACAGAACATTTACAGACAAACATACGTGGTAAAGATGCTGTCATTGAGAATTTGGCCGAAGAGGTATCAGAATTGAAACGATCGATACAAGAATTGGGACAGCAACAAAAATCAAATAATATTGGTGCAAATAATATAAATAACAAGTACGGTATTGAAAATTCGGACCAACATGAAACAAATAAAGCGGATGATCTGAAAAAACGATTAGAAGAGGAACAACATCGTTCGAAAAGCCTACAGGAAAAACTCGACAAATTGGTTCAAACGCCAACCAAAAAGAATGATGATAAACTTCAAAAAGAGTGTAAAGATTATTTGCAAAAAATCAACGATTTAAAGGCTGACGTACAACGATACAAAACGAATGCCGATGATTTGAATAATAAATTATCCGAATTTATTCAAAATAACAAACAATTGAATAATGATAATGGCAAACTACAACAACAACTCAAACAATCCGATGAAAAGATCAATGAATTGACAAAGAAATTAAAAACAAGTGAAAAATTTGAAAAAGAATTAAATAACAAACTTGATGAAATGAAAAAAGAATTGGAACGTGTACAGAATTTGAACAGCCAGCTTATAAATAATGTGAGTTTTTATCAAAAAGTTTATTTTTCGTTTCCTTGTTACATTGTGAAATGTGTAACCCAAAACCAAACTTTTAATTTTGGTCATTGTATACAATTACATTGTGTATATTTGGCCAAACTTAAATAATCGCTGTTTTTATTCTTGTTGACAGGTCGATTCAAATACCAAATATAAAGCTGCCACTATCGATAGTGGCGATAATCGATCTATTACCTTACAGAAAGAATACAATGAAATGAAACGAAAATTGGACGAATCTCGTATGACCATTAATGAATTACAGAAACAACTTGAAAGACAACAAAATGAATTTAAAGAAAAAGAGAACAAAATTCGTGAAGAATTTAATCAAAAAGTAGAAATAACGTCTAAAAATGTACGAAAAGAAGTACATCATGAATTACAATCACTGCGAGAAGAATCGACCAATTATAAGAATCGTTCTACAGAATTGGCAACAAAATTGGAAAAAGCCGAAAAAGATTTGAAAGAATTGAATGAAAAACTTAAATCCAATAATGTGCAGGTGAGAAAAGAACAGAATGAATCGATGGAAAAGATTCAAGGATTGGAGAATCAATTGAAAAATGAACAAAGAAAACGAGAACGATTGGAAAAAGAGGTTGAAAATGTTGGTCGTGGCCGTGAAGAGGAATTATTACGATCACAGGAAAGAATTGTTCAATTGGAGCGTGAAATCCGACGACATCAGGCCAAACTTGATGACGTTGAATATGAATATACAAATCGTATCAATTCAAGTGAAAAAGAATTGAATAAAATCAAACAAGATTATGATGATTTGACAAATAAATATGATATGTTGGAAAAAGATTATGTGGATTTAAAATCAAGAGCTGTGGCTGAAAAAGAAACGCTTGTCGAAGCTGTTGGATCATTAAAAAAGAGCTATGAAGAAAAACTGAATGAAATAAAATCATTGAAAGAAACATCGATGAGGTAAGAAAAATGGTAAATAATTAATGTTATTAACCACTTAGGTTTTTCATTTTTTTCAAAATGGAAAATAAAATTCCATCCTTTTATTAGCCAACGAAAAGAATGGTATAAAGAAAAATTGACTTTACAGGAGCGTATTGCCGATCTAGAATCAAAACTCAATAAAGCTAATTTAATTGAAGAAGAACATAAACGACTAAAAGTGTTGTTGTCGGAAAAAGAAAATCTTCTGAATTCATATCGTAAAGAGGAACGAGTTCATAATGAAGAACGTGAGCGTAATCGTATTAAAATTGATGCATTACAAACGAGAATTACTGAACTTGAACGAGTGGAACGAAACACCAGATTTATGAATATTACTGGTCGAGCACAAGTCGATAAAGAGTTACAAGACTATCGTATACGATTAGAACATTCAGAGACATCACATAAAGGTGAATTGGCTGCATTACATGCGGAATATGAGAGTCGTATGAGATTATTAGGCGAAGAAGTTGAACATTTACAACAACAAATGGTACATTTAGCGCAAGAACGTGATAGGTATCGAGAATCTTTGGAAAAATCAAACAAAGATCAGGGAACATTTAAAGGCACTTTTCGAAATGAAATTGAAGATCTACATTCACAGTTACGTATTGTTCGAACAGATTTAGAAGGAGCATTATTAGAAAATCGTAATCTAAAAATTCAACATGGCACGGAAAAAAGCACATGGCAAATACAGTTGGCCGAATATAAAACAAAGATTAATCAATTAGAAGAAAGGATTTTATTGGAGACACGAGGTTCAACTAGAAATTATGCTCGTACAAAAATGGAATTAGCATGGGAAAAAGAACGACAAGAAAACTTGCGGTTATTGCAGGATACGCAAAAATTCATTCAAGAATTACGTGATAAATTGGTGGGTAGTGAAAGTCTTCATGAAAAAGAACGTGAACAAGCACGTCGACAGTTGTTAGAATTGAAGACAAATATGGATAAAGAACATGTTGAGACTCAGCAAAAAATTGCCGAACTTCAATTTGATTTGTTAGCATTAAAAGAAGTGCACGCAAGGCTAAAATCTCAAAATGAGCGCTATAAACGAGAACGGGGAATGTTTGAAAAAGCTAAAATGAATTTCATTGATACTGAAATGATCGAATTACGTAAAATAGTTGATTCGATACAGAAATCGCCGACAACGACCAGTTCATCAGCAAAAACTTTCCGTTCATCTACCCAACAAACCACAACAAAAAACCAACAACAAGAAGAAATTGTCGCAGCTATCAATCAACTTAAGGAACGTTTAAATTCTCGATATAATGAGATGATGCAGGAGGCTCGAGAAGCATCACAAATTAGCGTCTCATCCAATTTGAATGGCCGTTATACTGGCGGTTCTAGTTCATCATTAACATCGACAACTAATCTACCGCCACCAGGTCAAATAAAACGTGCACCACCTAGACTTAAATTGGTCAAAAAGTCATTATCATTGGATCAACAACTTCGTGGAGCTTCACAAGAACGTATCTGGGATTCAGATCACTCATTAAACAGTACACCGAATTCATCTATTAGTAATCTTCGTGGTCGCTATGCATATGGTGGTGGCTATGAATCCGATTCTTCTGGATCTGGATTTTTCGCTCCATCTAATACAATGCTTCGTTTGCGACCAGGATTCTCTAAAGATTCATCATTCGCTGGTGGTAGTGATTCTGATACAAGTGTTTTATCATCAGCTGAGCCAAAGAAAACTTTAAAAGAAAGATTTAAAATTAGAAAATCATCCAAATCATCTGATGATGAAGCGTTAAAACAGAAACTTGCATTGCAAGGATTTGAAAAAAGTCCAATCGAGTTGGCTAAACAACGTGAAAAGAAGGAAAAAAGTCTTCGATATAAAATATCTAAAACATTATCGAAAACTTTCTCTCGTAGCGCTTCCGTGTTATCGGAAACACCAGAAACACAATCTTCAAAACAGCATCAATCGATCAATAGGACTAAATCACCGACAAGGTCAAAATCACCGGAAGTGAAAAAGGTTTGATGAATGATTTGTTTTCTTTCTCTTTTTTATTTGTTAAAATAATTGTTATATTAACACAGTTGCATCAAGAATCAAGTTCTATGGTCATTCCTGGTATAGCCCAATTGAAACAGAAACCAACGCAATCAAATCTAGCAATACCACCGTCAAAACGTTCACCACCACCAAAAATAAAAATCTATCGTACCGAAACAAATGTATGAAAATTGAACTTATCGAAATCCCCCAAATCATTCAAAAGCATCATCTGTAATAATTCTATCATTATATTATTCTGAAACATTATTTATCTTCATGTGATGGATCAGTTTGTTTTTATCTATTGAATAAAAAATAAATCTTTTTTTAAATTTTTTTTTAAATTATGAAATTCGAAAACTAACCAAAAGATGGCGAAAATCCATCAAACTCATTGACTTATGATATGTTAATGTGTCATTTTTTAAAATGTTCAAAAGAATTAATCGCATTTTCAAAATTCTTCACTTGTATGATTAGATTGTTTCTAGTTAGTATTCAAAATCACACAATCATTGACAATTAGATATCAATATGGCCAAATGAGCTTATACAAATATAAACTGATTGTTTTTTTTAATTCTTTTAACGGATGTCAATATCAATATATTTTTCTAATTCTTTTTTTATTCATTCCATCATTTATGAAGTTTTTGATAATAATAATAAGCTTTGGTTAATTTTTTTTTTCGTTATACAACATTTATAAATGAATTAAAGAATGTGTTTTCCATCACAACATAATTATTGACAATCTCAAATATCATCATTATCATTATCAGGTATGTTTTTGTCCCATATTTGTCGTTCATTAGAACCGAATAACATAAATATTAGAGCCGATAATGTATAAATAATACATGATACATAGAATACTTGATTCCATCCATCGTTCGATAATAATGATGATTGTTGTTGTTGTTGTTCGATTTGAACATTTGTTAATATGATTCCAACAACGTATGGTGCAAATATACCGGCCAAATTTGCGAAACAATTTGTAATACCCATCAATGTACTAGCATATGTTGGTGACATATCTACATGTGTTACATGATAACCAGCGAGAAACATTCCATTCATACCCAATGCCATTGTGAATAATATAATACACCATTTTGGATCATTATTACCTATTTGTATCAATAATAATAAACAAATTGTTGGTCCCATAAATGCCAATGTATTAGCCGTTTTTCTCAATGTTCCTAATCTGAATGATTGGCTAGCATAAAGTTTATCACATATATATCCAGCCATACAGCCAACAATTGCTTGACATAAATATGGTAATGATGAATAAAGTCCGTTCTAAAGAAATAAAAATTCAATCGAATTAAATGAAAATATCTGAATGCAATTTCAAACTTACTTTTTTGATATCAAAATGTAAAACATTTTGGAAATAACGTGGCAATTGTGTTAAAAATGTATAGAATCCCCAATTTTGTCCGAAATGTGCTATAATCAATGCCCATAAGGGAACCGATGTGACAATTGATCGCCATGGCATTTTCCGTTTCTTTTATATTCATAAAAATAATTAATGACTATTATAGTGATCACAAATCAACTAGAACATAAATTTACTTTTCCTGTCAGATCATTATTTCGGTTGGCTATGATCATATCTAGCTCTTCTCGTTGAATGGTTGGATGGATTTCCGGCGTTTCATGAACTGTCATGAACCAGATTGCCGACCAAATTAATCCAATGGATCCAAAAACATAAAATACTGATGGCCAACCGCCAAAAAATTCTGAATCACATAATAATGCAGCAACAGGCATTGTCAGTACGGTTCCTATCTGGGATCCTGAATACATAAATGTTGACATTCGGCTTCTTTCATATAATGGAATCCATTTTGCAAACATTGAATGCATACTGGGATATGCTAGTCCCTAAATTGAATAAAAAAGAATCGAATAATTTTGAATTCCTTATTATTTTGAAAAATTAAAGTCAACAAATTATTACTTCGAATAACCCTTCCAATACACGACAACCAATAAATACTGTATAATGTATTCGAGCTGCAAACGGGCTAATTATGGTCAAAATTGATGTAGCCATAATGCCTAAGCCAAAAAGCCATTTTGAACCAAATATATCAGCTAATCTTCCACCGGGAAATTGTGTTACAACATAACCGGCAAAAAAGCTACTCAAAATCAGTGCCTGAATGTTTTCATCCCAATCAAATTTATCATTTTTATCAATTATCACGTTCATAATAGCTATGGAATTAGATTCATTGCTATTTCCTTGTATTAATGGTGGATTGGGTCGACCATTATTATGATTCACCATCGATACAATTGCAACAGATAGATTCACACGAAGCATATAAAGAATATTATATCCGAAAAAACCCATTATTACTAATAAAAATCTCTTGGGCAAACAATGACATTCTGTTAATATGTCGTCAATGGTAATGATTAACAAGAATGATTAATTAATTTCTTTCGTTAAAAAAAACAAAATTACGCACTTGTCACTTTTCGATCTGGATCATCCAATTGTTCACTATTGGCCATTTCATTCTGCGTTGACAGATTCATATCGATTAATGTGGCAGTTATAAATTGAAATTCGATCTAGGATTACGGCTGTAAATGTTTCAAGAATTTAATACTTTCCTCAAAAATTCTGGAATAAAACTAAAATACAAAGGATAATCTATTATCAATTGCCACTTCATCAATTATCAGATTTCATGTCATGTAATCAGTTATATAGTGTCCTCTGGTGATTCAAAATCAAAATTAAATCTCATAACATTCTTTACGAATGACACTATGTTTATTGTGTTATGCAATAAATTAATTTGCACGCACCAATTTTATTTCATTTATATTGGCCAATTTTGCCATGAGTTTTTAAATTTTTATCTTTTTTTTTTTTTTGATTTAAAATTAAACAATCTTCAAAAAATGTCTGCAACAATTTGTTATCTTTGTAACAAAGGTGAAGTTGTTCATGATAAGAAAATGTCTGGTATGTTTTGTACCGGTTGTGGTGAATGTTTTGAATTAGGTGCTTTTACCGATGAGGTTCAATATCGTGAAGATGATCGTGGCCGATATTTGGCTATTGGATCCACTTATAGTGTTGAAAAGGGATTCGTCAACAGGTATGTTTTTGTTGGAATGGTGATTGAATAATCTTATTTTTTTTAAATTTATTGCATATAGTAAATTTTCAAGTCATGGACAATGTCTAGCATCTGTGGATAATGCTAAAACAATTCTACGTCGATATTGCGACAAATTATATATTAGTGAATCATTTGCACAGATATCAAGCGGATTTTATCATCAATTATTAATTAAAAAATATATGAACGGTCGACGTCTGAATGTCGTATTAGCCGCATGTCTTTATATTGCTGTTCGAACTGAAGGTGCTAATGTAATCTTATTGGATATAAGCGATGTGGCTGAAGCCAATGTCTATGATATTGGCCGTTATTATTTTCAAATTATTCGTTTATTACATTTTAATATACAAACAGTCGATCCATGTGAATATATTGTTCGATTCGTTGATATGCTCAATCTCGGTTAGTTGTAAATATTTTATTGATGAAAAATCTCTAATTGAACTTGATAAAAGGCGATAGAACTTTATCACAGGTAAAACGTTCAGCGTTGTCCATTCGTGAAACTGCCAATAGAATCGTACAACGAATGAAACGTGATTGGATTCATTTTGGCCGTAGACCTTCGGGTGTATGTGCAGCTGCTGTACTCGTCGCGGCCCGTATCAATAATGTTCGATGTTCCTTTAAAGATATCATATCAATTGCTAAAGTTTGTGAATCAACCATACGTAAACGAATTGACGAATTTATTGAAACGCCAGCAAGTTTATTAACGTATGAGGAATTTATGTTGAACGATCTCGGTGAAGGAGAAGATCCTCCAGCCTTTAAAAGATCCGCAACCTTGAATGATGATATCGAAGCTAATTTGAAAAAGGCCGAAAAATATCAGAATATCATAGAAGAACATTTGAAAGAATCTAGAGTCAAATTACGTGGACTGTATGCTAAGTTTCTAAAAGATATATTTACATCTCAAGATGATGGAGAAAAACTAAAAGATGATGAAACTTCCATTATTCAGGAGACTATAATTGATCATAATATTCTATCAATCGATGGTAATATAACAAAAATGTCTCAAGAAATGCATTTCGAAGATCATGGCAATCCATCCAAAGAAGAGATTGAATATTGGGCTGACCTAAGGCCTTCAGCTAAAAGTCTTGGCCTTTTGAGGCGTGAAGCGATTCAGAATGAAGCAAACGAATATCAAGACCTATTAGACAAGGATCTTGATGAAGATATCGATGATGATGAAATTAGCGCCTATATTATTGATGGTCAAACCGAGATTAGTCAACGACAAATGGAATGGACAATGTTAAATCGAGAATTTTTGGAAAAAGAAGCACAAGAATTATTAAAAAGAAAACAGCAAGAATCACAAGATGAAAATGAAAAAGAACAGAATGGGAAAACGGTAAATTCACTATTTTAAATTTTATCACTTTTTAAAAAATATTTTCCTGTCTATTTTACAGAAGAAAAAACGACGAAAAACGGACAAAGTTGAAACGTCAGCAGCTAACAGTGCTAGCGAAGCTGTCAAAGCTGCTGCTAAGGCCAAATCTATCCAATTAAATTCAAATCTTAACCTCAAAGAATTATTCAATGAAGAATCGGATGCAAGTTCTCAATCGAAACCCGGCACTAGTGGTATAGCAGTTGTGATGAATCAATCCAACACTAACGAAGTTGTCGATTCTCAATCCGATAAGGAAGACACTGCACATTTGGTGTCATTATATCACTCCTATGCCAAAGTTCCAGCGACTCAGAAGTCTCAAAAAAACATCACCCAAAAAACAGATAACAATGATCAAGTATCTGAGTCAACGATCAAGCGGAAAGATGAAGTTATCGAAATTCAACATATTTCCGTCGAAGATAATGGTCATAATGATGTTAATGATAAAAAAATAAAAATACCACCAAAAAAACTTTCAACATCGGCACAAGATATTGATTCACTTGTTGATGATGATGACGATTATTTCGGTGAAGATGATGACAATGTTGACGACGATGACGATGATGATGATGAATTTCAAAAAATTAAACAAAAATACAGCCTACAAGGCGATAACGGATATACAGATGATTTTGAAGATTGTGGTTTTTAGCATGAAAAAAAGATATCCAATATGTCATTGAACTCAAAGTATTTTAATCATATATCCTTGCATTTGTTTGTGCTGAAATTTCATTATCTGTATTGTGATTTTATATTATATTTTTATTTATTTAGTTATCATTTTTTTTGAACGATTAATAAATTCATCATGAATAAGTAAATATCTTTTATCTTTGTTTAAATATGATTGTTGAAAAAATGAATAGGCTAATTCACGAAATGTAATAGCCAATCGTCGATGATTTATGTCGGATCTGTGAATCGAATGATGAAATTTATATCTTGCATCACCATAAAGAACCAGAAGCGATTTTTTTGGACATGCAATGCGAATACAATATTCTGCTACTGATGATAACTCTGGAAATGTCAATGTTATTACTGCTGTCGAGGCAAGATTCAATGTTACCAAACGGTCACCCCAAATCCAATTATCATCAAAATGTGGATCGATTGATGATCCACGTTCTGGACTATTTATAAATTAAAGACAATTTTATAAACAAATTTTCAAATATATTAGAGATCCTATATTTTTTCATACCAATATTCAAGATGACAAATTTCGATTGGGTAAAAACGATTCAATATAGTATGATCTGAATACTGATCAAATGGAAGCGATGAAAATCGATGCCAATCGTTATGTGATGTTAAACGTTCACGACGAATTAGATTCAATATTTCAACATCAAGTTTCGGTAATCCTGTGAATGGTGTGAAGTTGATTTTTTGTTTTTTGAAATTAATTTTCGGTCCAAAATCTTGTTTACGGCGGCCTGATTGTGAATCTACCCAATCGAATGAATCAATTTGTTTGATAAGATGAACTTCTTCATCATCAGTTATTACATCAGTTTGTAAGAATACACCATCAATCTGAATCATAGGTACATCATCGAATTCGTTATTTTTTTCATGATCTTCCACATGTTTATCAAAAAATGTTGAAGCGTAAGCCCGATTACCACATCGCCAACAATAAACATAGGTTTTTGTATTCCAAAGATTTTGACCACTTGATTTAGGTAATTGATAATTTTCACATTGTAAGCATGTCCGAATACCTTTACAAGCACAAGATCTCGATTTGATATCAGTTGTCATTGTATTTTTATCAGGCATAGATCATCATGATATCAATAATAAACATGTGGGATTTCAACTTTAATTAATTCTTCCCCGTCCATTCATATAATCCAGTGCAGAAATCAAATATCCCAGCCGGCAAAAAATTGAGTCTGAAACAGTTTTTATTTATTATTTGTCGTCAACAAACAAACAAAATATAATCAATCTTTAATGTTATCTTCTCACATAAGGTTATAATAATCAGTTTTGGCTTTTATTAGCCTATTTTGTTGTGGCTGCCTGTTGTTGGTCTTTTCGAAAAATTGGAAGTGTTGGATCCACGAATCCTGGCAAACCAGCTCCGACTCCCGGAAGGCCTAAACCACCAAGTCCTGGCAAACCAGCTCCGAGTCCCGGAAGACCTAAACCATTAAGTCCTGGCAAACCAGCTCCGACTCCCGGAAGACCTAAACCA